ATTAATTTATTACATATTTATTACATACATAAATTAATTTAAAAGTTGAATATTTCCAAGTCACATAACCTTCAAATTGACTTTCTCTTTGCAGCAGAGGTTTTGAGTTTTAGCTAAAACAAGCTGCTCTTTTGTTCCTGAATGTTAATCCACCTCCATCTGATCCTGCAGATCTTCATCGTTTTCTTTCAGACATTCTTGTGGTTCTGTTTGAACTGGCAGCATCTGCTGATCTTTGGTCCATTGCATGGGTTCATAGGATTGTGATGTTGCAGCATAATGACTGTGAGCTGCATCATGAACATCCATATGATCATCATTTTGTTTTTTCACATTTTTTTGTGCTTTTTAAAATGCTGATGCTTGCTTGCTCTTCTTTCTTCCTCAACTTTCTGTCTCTTGCCTGGAAGTGTGCAGACCTCATTCAGTTTCAGTGCATTTGGACGATGTCTACTCTGGTTATTCTTTTGATCAACATCATATGTTCGTTGCATCAGCTCCTCCTCCTGTTTTTCTTCCACACAGTCGACTCCTCTCTCTGTGAGACTGACATATTCTTCTAGCTGCTTTTTTTCATTTACATTCACTTGTTGCTCTGCCTGCAGCTCTCCTTCATGTGGGAGTTGTAGTTTTTCTCTCTCCTTGTCCTTCCTCTTTGTTTCCTCAGATCTAAGCCCTTCATTAACCTCCAGCTCCTTTCCCTGAGCTCCTTCTTTCCTCTCTGCTCCTCTCAGTTTCTCTGGCTGTTGTTCTGCCTCCAGTTTTTCTCTCTGTGTCTCCTTCTGTGCCACAAACACAGAATAAATATTGTTTACTTCACCACTGTTTTCCTCTGCTCTCTTTTTCTCAGTTTCTGACTCTTTCATGTCCACATTTCTCTCCATCTGTCTTTTTTCTATAAGCTGCTCTTGTTGTGTCTCTTTTTCTCTCCATGGTTCCTGATCACTGCTCAGATAAAAAGAAAAATTAAAGAACTTTTCTTCTCCTAATAGCATGTGCTCCTTTTTATGTTCTTTTGTAAATGGTGAAAACTGAAGTCCTGAATATTCTTCAGCCTTCATCAGATCTTCATCGTT